ATACTACGGGACAATTTTTATTGTCATGTGCTGGCTGGGTCCATTGATTCCATCGCATGGCCTGTGTCTCTCTTCGCCCAACTCCTCCTTCTCTGACTCCCGCCTGCCGCCGCCTCCTGCTATGATTATGTACTAATAAAAAGGTAAAAATGCCTCAATTTCGCTTTTTTGTAGGCGAGTCAGCCAACCGATTGTGGATGTTTCTGTCGGTGGGGTGGGAGGGAACATGGATATCTGGATATGTGACTCTATGGGCTTGGCTTGGCCAACGATTTTTTGGCTTCAAAACTGCAGTAGCAGTAGTTGAAGTTTTGCCCAAAAAACAAGCTCTCTTTAGCTCTTTCTAAGCTTCGGTTTCGGTTTCTAACTTATCATTTAAGTCATCCTTTGAACTCCTTTAAACTTATTACAAAAACTTCTTCATATTATTGATATTTTCTTACTTTAATTCTTAGTCAGAAAACTATTTGGAAAATCACGTCAACTGCTGCTGCTTGGGCTGCCTGACCTGACCGTTTGGGCATTCTGGCCAAAACTAACAAAAAACCAAAGATCCACATCGATTGAGTCGCCAGGAGCAAGAGCTAGAAAAGATTTATGTCGTCTACGGCGTTCGTTCCCGTTTCTCCATCCATTAGATGGGAGACGACGACGACGAGTTGTCTGCTGCATTGAAAATACGCAAAAAAGGAAGAAAATGATGAATTTCCATACTATACCTATCCTATATACCTCTATACGTGCCCCGTTTCAAATGCCCTGCTGAATGGTGAATGGTGAATGGTGAATGGTGCTCTTGCCCTGCCCGATCCGGCTGCCTTCCGTTCTGACCAGCCAGCCGATGGCTCTGACAGCACTACCAGCAGCAGCAGCAGCAGCACTACACTACTAGCACCAGCAACAGTTCAAAGGTGCGCACTCCCAACTTCGGTGAGCAGCAGTAGCAGCGTCATGGCCCAGCGCAGCCAAAATCCCCGCCAGCACGACGAGCACGGCTCGTGTCACTGATTTCGCCGATGACGACAACGCCAACGACGACGACGAAGCCTTCCATGGAGTTGGGCTTGGGTGAGGGGGCTTGGGGTATGAGTTAGAGGTTTTTTCTGGTAGCAGAATGATAGGGGAAGGGGGTTGGACGAAGAGTGATGCTGCTGGGTCGCGGAGCAGCAGTGCAATGCCATTGTGTTGCGTTGCTTTGGCAGAGGGAAGGGGCTGGGCACACGACACACCACCACCTTTTATCCACACACACACACACACACACACCCATACAGAGAGAAAGAGAGCACATGGACAGAATGCATGTGCGCTCACACACACACACACACACACACGCTGTATACGTATACGTATACGAAGCTATATGTATGTATACAACAAGCCCTTGTTTCGCCCATTGGAATTGGGGGTTGAAAAAGCACACAGCGTCGTGTTGTGGCCTTTCTCTTGCCCTGCAAAAAGTTTTCATTTTGAACGAGAAACCGTTGTGGGTTCATTCGATTCGGGACGTTCGAGGCGGAAGTATATGCCAACGCTTGGCCTACAAAACAAAAAAAAAAGAAAATATTTATAACGCGTGAAACGTTCGGAACTTGTTGTTGCTGTTGTTGCTTTTTTTTGGCTGTTCATTTTGCAAAAAATTATATATTTTTTTTTTTTCCAAAAAACACATTCTTTTTGTTTAGTGAAACGCCTTGAGTGCCTTAAGGTATATGGTACACTTTTTGCCCAAAGTAAATGTGGGAAAAAGTAACTTCAAAGTGCCTAAGTAAGTTGTTATTATTGTTAAATAATAATATTAAAAAAAATAGTCAGACAGCCAGCTGTTGCAAGAACAGAAAAGGAAAATGAAACTCACAACTCGTATATAAACCGGTAAGTTAACTCTAATGGAAATTCTAACTGAAAGATGGAAACTGCATGACAACTAGAAGTGTTTATGCAACAAATGTCCTCGCAGTCTAGTAGTAACAGGTGTCTGCCACAGACTTCAGCAACTTCCGGTTGGTTTTATTTGTACAACCCCCTTTGTTAGCAACTTATTTTTTGGATATTTGCAATGCGGAAATAGCCAAGGGCCAAGTAGGGTAGTGTAACAGGTGGAGAAGAAAGCTAACAACTTGATAGATCAAAATTGTAGGGAAAAGGTTGCCATAAACTCAACAAGTTGGTATGGAAAAGAGGAAAATTTCTTTGGTTTTAAGGTAAAAGAACATATATATTACTATATCTTATCAGTTAGTAAGTTTTTATAGAACTTTTAATACCATTTTTGCCTAAACTTTGACATTTCCCTTAAACTTCATTAAGTCAGACTTAACCCTAGCTCCCATTTAGCTAACTATATATAAAAATATCACAGATATATACGTATGTATATATACAAACGATCATTTAGGCGGTCAAGCAGTCAGGCGGCTCTTTTTTTTTTTTTGAATGAACACAATAAGCAGCAGCAGGGCGGGCAGGCCCTCGAATGTTACCGCTCTTGGACCTTATTTGTTCGTTCTTCCTATTGAAGCTCACAATTACAGCGCTTTGGCTAGCCATTCAGTCAGGCAGTCAGTCAGTGAGCGGTACAACCAACCAACCAACCAAGCAGTCAGTCAGACAAACAGCCATCCGGCCATCGAACTATATCTTTGTCCACGGTCATGGTCTATTGCCTTGGCAGTGAGTGCTCTTGGACCACATTCAAATTGCAGTCAGGGCTTGTTTCCAATTCCGATTCAGACTATATATATATATATATATATATATATATATATATATATATATATATATATAAGCGATCAGGGGGATTGGCTAAATGCGATTTCTTGCCCTTTCAATTATATTTACTGACTGAGTTAGCTTGGGCAACTGGGCAACTGCACCCAGTGGTTGGTGAGTAACTTTTGATGGAGTTAAAAAGATAGATAGACCAACTTTTTATAGGTTTTACTCTTAACAATACAAAATTATAAAGAGAAGAAGAGCTAAAAGTGAGAATCTTGATCAGAAGAAGTCGTTTTACAACATTTATGATGCCACATGCCACACTAAAGATGTTGCACAAACGTTGGGGCGAGATTTGAGTAGGTAACTTTGTTAGATATTCGAAAGATCAGATCAGCAGAGGCAGTTTTTAACTATATAAGATTGTACAGGCATATATTATATATACACCCTTAGATATATACATAACCGACTATAACATTTTCGACTGTCAACGGCAAAGGCAAGTTAAGTTTGTTCTTAAAACAAAAGCGAGTGATAAATTCTCAAACAGATGACATCGCTAGTAGACATTGGCGCACCGGAAATGTGCGTGTTACAATGCCACACTCAACACAGAGAAACACACACACACAAACACACACATTCATACACACATAGACAGAGAGAGTTCCTGCCACTATGACGTTACGTTTGTCAACTTCCGCCTCATCGGTTTGGTGTGTGCGTAAGTGTTTGCCACAACAAAGAGGTTTCACAACATCCGCACTCACATCCGTTACAAGCAGCCAGTGACGTTGCCACACCGTTACGTTTTTGTAAGCCAACAAAAAGCAACAAAAACAAAAATAAAACAACAAATTTATATATATATAAATTTTAAAAGTAAAATTAAGCAGACTCAACTTTTTTGTATAGTTATATTCCATGTTGCAAACACCGGTAAAAGTTTCTGAGTTTGTGTCGAATGAGGCATTGTACTGGCTGCCTGCCTGCCTGCCTTCCTGCCATCCTGCCAGCCTGCATCCCAGCGACTTGTTTAACATCTGAATAAGTTGAGTTAGTAGAAGGCATACAAATGAGTAACTTCTTTGCTCTATAAACGTCTATAAAAGCTATACTATATATATATATATATTCCTGATCATCAAGCCACTGAACTCACTCGCCCTCCACTTCTAGGTTGGTGCGTTTGTCTCTCCTCTCTTTTTTTAATATAATTAACCTGACTGAAAATTGTATTATGCTATTATTGTATCGAAAACAACAACCATAACAACAACAACCAAACAGGAATATAAAAAATACTTGTGTGGCTTTCGCCGAGTGCAATATCATAGCCATTGCAGCCTGACTTTGTGTCCAATAATTCGATTTACTCACTTTTTATCAAGAGTCTGAGAGGCGAACCCCGCCGATCAATAGGTACCAGGGCAACCCTTTAATGGCACTCTGAGTGCATTAGAACCAAAGTGGCTGGTTGCAAACTTTATTATTGTGGCTGAGTACCAATAACCACCCATCCCTCCCCAACGCATGCAAAGTGAATGCTGCTGCCTCCTCTACATGCATGCCAATATGAGTTGTTTTTCCAACCAAAAACTTAGTAGCAACTGCTAGGCTATCAACACTAAACACACTCACTAAGGTATAGATAAAAAAAAAATCTCTTTAGAAGAAGAAAGAAACTTCAATCTGTACTAGAAAGTCCCATAAACCTATATTCCCCTCTTTCTCTCTCTCTCCAGGAAAGCTCAAAAATTGTAATAAAGATGTCATCACTTTGCAAAATTGGTTATTACCACGCTCTGACACGGATCTAAAGGCAGACATATAGATATATATATATACCTATATATATAACACACACACTTACACACACACTCACTCACTTTTTACCATAATGCCTTCGGGCCAAATCCAAGAAAACAAGCCACTTTTCACCAGCTTCCGGGTAAATGTGTTTATGTGCCTTTTGCTCCAGAGAACTGTCATCAAGAAAACGACAAGGCAAATACCCCGAAACCAAATGTCGTGTTCTGCTAACTTCGTTTTTGGTGGCTTCGAAAGCTCGAAGTTGCCAAGTTTGCGGGGGATTCTCTCTGTTCACATTCAGAGTGTTTAGACCAGGCTATGCCAGTCTCTGGGAGGAGGCTGAAAGCCTGAAAGTGGACTGATTAATTGGGAAAAGCGTTCAGCTTGTTAGCAGAATCTAAAAGCAGATCATAAATTTGCTGCTTAACTTAACAGTAGGCTAGTGTGAGATAGTTTAACTCGCTAAAGAAAGTTTCTTTTTATATTTTTATAACATCTAACATTCATATCACCCCACGTAGGCAGGCAATCACTAATAGCAAGTGCGCCAAATTTATCCAATAACACATGCCTGAGCCCTCTGGCAGTGGCAATTTAGAGTTCTCCTTCACACTCACGGCACAGCTTGCCACTTTTGGTGGCACATCGAAAGAGACTTCCTTACGATCCTTCAACTCCACCAACTCCATCAAGCTACCCTCTGAATGAACTCTCATCAAAGGTAGTCCTTCCAACGACTCCAACTTCTTTAGCTTACCCAAGTCATCGCAAGACACAGTTCGGTGCCTTAAACGAGGCGTAAGACTCAAAGTTAGACCTGGTAGGCGTGGTTTCGGGTTAGTTAGTCCTTTTAAATGAAAGTTACTAGGATTCTGATTAGTTTTCCCTTCTGCAACTACAACTCTTTGAAATGCATCCATCGAGGTAGCCGAATGAATGGTTCTCATTAGTTCGTTCATCGAAGGGTTGGCCAAATAGATGCTATCTTGGCCAGTTTCCAAAATGGTTTTGTTCTTAGCCAAAGATTTCTTGCCACTTTCCTTAGTTCCTCTCGCTTCTTCTTCATCTTCTAAACGTTTTAATATGCTTTCCTTGTTACCTTTTATAAAGGCACGACAGCCCCTAAAACATGATTTTTTATTGAAATTAGTTGGTGGGTTTTACCTCTTACAGCTTACAGTTGCATCCACATTGTTGGAGATTGTGTTAGGATATGACTGGAAAAGGATCCTAACGGGAGAAATTTGGGGAAAGTGTTAGTATTAGTTAGTAAGTTGGTGTTGTTAGACTGGAAATTCTAAGCTACTAAGATCTCAAAACTAAACTTTGATGTAAAGAGTAGTTAAACTCTTTTAGGTACCAAAAATACTTTTTTAAGAGTGAAAGGATTCATCAGGCAGTCTTGGCATCTTTAACTTTATCTTCTGCCTAAAATATTTCCAACTTCTAGAGTCTAAACATGATTTATTATCTTTAAAAAACTATCACAAACCATAAAATCCATTTCTAAACCTAAATTCCACTTCCCAAACATCCTTCCCCTGCTTTTCAGTGTAATTTCTTTAGCTTTTTGTTCCTGTTTTTTTGGCTCAGAGAGAATGTCGCGGGATGAAATGTCTGCATTTTATAAGCAATACAACAGCATACAGAGGCATCGCTGCCACGCTGTCGGCTTAAGTGCCTGCCACCCACACCCCCTCGTCACCCATCGCCATCGTCATCGTCATCGTACTGTGCACATTTCCGTTGAAGTAAATTAAATTTTATTTGCTTTTAAGTGAATTATTTACTTTCTTGTTTGTCGGTGTTTTTCAACGGCCAGACGCCTCTCCGCCGCACTTCTCAATGTTACATTTTGTTTGGGAAACATTTCGAATAATGGCTGTCATATTCCTCCCAGCAAAAATCTTGCTTGTTTTCAAAGTTTTAGTTAAAATTTATTAAAAACACTTTTAATATTACGATTTTTATGTATTTTGCAGAATTTTGGAATCCCTCAAGGATCTATGTCAAGTGATTAATTTTAAGGACAACTATAAAGCTCCTCGATCCTCACTGAAGTCGGGTTTCGTTAACAGCGGGCTGTTCTTTACTTTTCAACTAGTTCGTTGTCGACGAAACCTGCATGCTGTGTGGAAAATCAACGCTTAACTATCAACGCTAACTTTAACCTTAGCTAAGGTTAAGCTCTTCTAATCTAAGCTCTTCTGTAGTTATAAGACTTTAATTAATAATAAAAACAAAAATAAATTTAGAATCTGCCTGCTTAACCCTAACATTCTAGCTCTTATAGTTCCAGATATCTCAGGATTCATACCGATGGACATATTAACTAATCTCATTTAAATGCCAAAACTTACTTTTTCCAGATTTTCACTCAAATTTTTTAGTTTTTTGTTCATAACTAAGTCAAAAATGTCCCGAATATAGAATGTCATATCTCGTTGAGTTTGTTTTTTAAATACCAACAAATCTCTGTCCCCATCTCAAAAAGTAATATTATATTTTCCCCTTTTTTTTTTTTGTAAATTTTAACCCTTATTAAAATCGCAACATTGATTTTATGCATATTTTCCCCTCAAACAGGAAGTATTCTGCTCATAAGTAAGCCATTAATGGACGGAATGTGAAATATAATACCTCGTTGAGTTCGTTTTTCAAATTCCAGTAGATCTCTGTCCCCACCTTGAAATGTACAATTTTCACCATTTTTCGTAAATTTTGATGAGGTTACCCCTTACAGGAAATGCGATAGTTTGTTGTCCCGATTTTCTTCTAGCATCGTCAGGATTATCTCCATAACTAAGCCAAACATGGTCGGACATGGAGTGTTATATATCGTTGGAATTGCAATTAAAATTCCATTCGAACCTCATTCACACTTTAAAATGACAAATTTTAAACATTTTTTAGAAGAAAGCTGATGTTACTCCTTACCGAAAATGCGAAAATTAGTTTATCCCGATTTACCCCTAAAAATGAAAGGATTCTTCCCATAACTCAGCCAATTATGGTCCGAATGTGGAATGTCATACCTCGTTGAGTTCGTAATTTGATTTCCAACAAAACTGCTTATCCACCTTAAAACGTAAAAATGTTCCCATTTTTCGGAAATTTTGATGATGTTACCCCTTATAGAAAATGCAAAATTTTGCAAAAATTTTAAATCCCCAAAATCATCAAACGAATGATGAGGAAAGTTTGTGCCGGTCGTTAGCTGCTCAAAACAGTCTTTACTTTAGCTCTGAGCCCTGTTTTGGCTGAGTTATAGGCATGAAACCGATAAAAATATTGTCATTTTCTCTTAAAAGTCATACCTGAAGTCACCTGAACATAGTTCTAGTTCCATTTCTGTTAAAAATGGATTTCCTGATTTTTCAGCCCTTAAAACAGAGCTCGCACCGAAAATGATAGGGGTGTTAAGTTTCGGTAGTAAGCTGCATAAAACAGTCACTGCTTTAGCCCTACGGCTTGTTTTGACAAAGTTAGAGCTAAGAAACGGCAAAAAAGCCGAGCTCCATGCTGTCAACAAACGTATACTTGATTTTGAGCACAAAAAATCAGTTCTTTGGCCATAACACACCCAAAAATAGTCCAAATGCGAAATGTAATACCTCGTAGAGCTCGTAATTTAATTGCTTTGATTCCCAATTGGTCTGCATTCAAATCTGGGAAACTTCATTTTCGGCCGATTTTTGAAAATTTTGATGATGGTACCCCTTATCAAAAATGCGAAATTTGGGCCAAAATTGACTTTCCCAAAATCGAAAAACGAGTGTTAGGGGTGGTTCGTATTGGTCGTTAACAGCACAAAACAGTCATTCTTTTGGCTGTGCGTCTTGTTTTGACCGAGATAGAGCTAAAAACCAGAACATAGTATTGCAAATTTCTGTTAAAATTCGGTTTCCTGATTTTTTAGACCTTAAAACAGAGCTCGCATCAAAAAATCAGAACAAAAACGCAAAAAGTAAGTATAGAGCTGTTAAGTTTCGAAAGTTAGCTGCATAAAACAGTCATTGCTTTAGCCATGCGGCTTGTTTTGACAAAGTTAGAGCTAAGGAACTGAAAAAAAAAACCGTGCTTCTCTGTCAAAGGACGTATACGTGATTTTGGGCACAAAACATCAGTTTTTTTTGCTGTAGCACAGCCAATAATGGTCCGAATATGGAATGTAATACCTTGTTGAGCTGGTTTTTTAATTTCCTACAAAACTGTATTCACACCTTGAAAAGTGAAAATTTTTCCATTTTTCGTAAATTTTAATGATGTTACCCCTTACAGAAAATTCAAAATTTTACAAAAAATTCAAATCTCCAAAATCATCAAACGAATGATGAGGAAAGTTAGTTTTGGTCTTTAGCTTTACAAAACATTCATTCTTTTGGCTGCGTGCCTTGTTTTGGCTAAGTTATAGTACAAAATGGTCAGAAGAAAATTTACATTTCCGCGTCAAAGGACTTAATCTTGATTTGAGTAAGGTACATACGAGTATATACACTTTACAAAATCGGAAAGGCTTTCTTTGTGTTGTTACATACATTTTATCGAATGGGATATGTCCCTTTATAATGAGTTATCAATCAAATTTGTCCTGTTAACTTATAAACCACTTTACAAACCACAAAATAATAGACTTTGGATGAAGACTTACCAGACTTAAGATGGCACAGACAGGCAACGAAGTCCACGAGAGCATCCGACTGACTGCATCACGCTCACCCTTGCCCTAAGAAGTATCTCAAGGTCCTTCATTTCGTCTAACAAAGTTGCTGTAAAATACTTCCGATGAAGGTTTACCCAAGTTCGAGGATTACAGATCGAACCGTGATGAACCTAAAAATGGGATTTCTTTGATTTAATTATGGAATTCAAAATAAACATTCTAGAAACTTAAGCCAATGATAGTAAGTAACCTTAAAATTAAACAATGACAAGAAATTTGCAATAAAAAGCTTAAGAAAGGCACATAAATGTTAGAAAGAAATATAAATTTATGAATCAATAAAAAACATTTTGGAAAAACAAGAAAATTTAGAAAATATTTTTGACAAAATTGTTAGAGACCGATTGGTTTGAGAAGCACAGGTAAGCAAGCACAGGTAAATATCATTTTTACTCACTTGATATATGTTAGTTTAATATTGTATCTCCCTCTTCCACCCTCTGATAACCCAACCATTGCAAGAGCAAACCTTAGTTTCCCCCTTAAACCCCTTCTAAAAAAACACCCAAAAAAAGCCTTAAAGTCAGTCAGTTCTTAGTCATTATATAGCTTATATAGCCTGTTCTTACTCTTAAGTCAGCTTTAAATTAAAAAATAAATTAAATTAAAATAATATTCTTTAACACTCATCTGTCATGTTTTGTTTTAAAACCGAATAAAAATGTTTAAAATTTTTGAAACAAAAATACGGAAAAAGAACTAAAAATAGTTCCCCCTTTCAAAGTCAAAGTTTAGCTAAAAAACTTTTGCTCTTAAAAACGGTTTCTAAAAACAGCAAGAAAATATTTTTAAAAAATATTGCAAGACATTTTTGTACTCTATATATTATTGGTAATTTATTAAATTTTCATTTACATTAGTTGGAGACCGAACGATTTATGTAAATATTCATAGGCTTATAAGAATTCAATTTCGGCTTCAATGACGTGGGGATCATTTTATTGGCTGACAGTCGATTATAAAATAAAAAGGCCATCGTAAGAACTATTTTAAAATTGTTTGTTAAGTTATTAATTAATACATTTTGTTTGTTTCATTTTTGTTTTTTGCTTTTTGCCGACGACTTCAAGTTTTAGTCGTTTTTTAACAATGTTTTTGGTTTTTTTCTATTTAAATAGTCGTCTGGTTACTTGCACTAAATTTTGATCAAGAACAAAGTTTGGTTTTCTTTTACGTATAATTGTGTTTATTTTTTAGTTTTCATTTTAAGCTATGCATATACTGATTTCCGGGTACATACGGCTCTTTTTTTTAAATTTAATTTTAAGTTTTTAAACTAAAGAAGCGCTGCTATAATATTTATTGGATGTCAGCCACTTTCTTTCGGGTAAAACCTTTCTCTTTACGAGGAATCAATATCAATTAAGTTTCAAATTAAAATTAGCTTAAAAGAGTGAAGGAAAACCCCAACCAAATTCGGCATAAACTAAATATGATTGATCGCTTTTCGACTAGATTGTTGTTGTGGCTACTTTGGTAGGTATATCTTAAGGGTTCGTTTATCTAAACCCACTCCTTGAAGTTATGGTAATGGATAAGCGAAGTGGTGTGTGTGTGTGGTGTGTGTGTGTAAGAACCTTATTTTTAATCCAAGTTTGTTCTGTTTATTAAGATATTAATTGTGTGTTTTTATTAGGTTTTTGGTTTTATGTTTTTCTGTTTTATGTTTTTTCTGTTTAAATAGTTTGGATATTTGCACTAACTTTTGATCGAGAACAAAGTTTTACGTATAAGTGTGTATCTCTATATATGGTAGTATTAAGTTTGCTTATAATGACTCCCAAGTCTGGTCTGGTCTGGTCTGGTCTTGTCTTGTGGAAAACTAAAGCAGCAATGTCTCAAAACCCTCCCCACCCAAACCTTATCCCTCAAAGTTATGAAGAAAATCTGGTCAAACTGACTTTCAAGGATAAGCCAAGGGGCCAGGCTGATGTCTGTGTAAATCTAAATTAGTTTTGGTGTCTTTTATGTGTGTGATTTGTGATCAGAATAAGAATAAGAAGTAGATAAGAAGTAGATAAGAAGTATATAAGAACTATGTAAAGAACTATATAAAGAGTATGTAATGTATGTAATGTATGTAATGTCTGTCTCTGTTATGATCTGAGAAACCAACAATAAACTATAAAGTATAAAGTGTTCTGCTGTCTGCTTATATAATTTATCGGTTATAGTAAGTTTGTATCTCAACGTTTTAAAACTACAAAATCATTATAAGTGTTAATATGTTCACCTTCGATGTTGCCCCATGTCTGGATATTCTAAAGAATATAAGTTAACCCATGTTTCACATCAGTTAGTTGTCTTATAAATTTGTCCTAAGCGACTAATCCGTATTATGTAAGTTGCAAGTTAATTAGGCTTTTTTTTCTACGCTTTTGATAACATTGTTTTTGGTCTCAACGCCTCTACTTATCACTGTTTCTTCAGGCCGGGGGGGGGGGGTGTGGGGTAACACCCATATACCCCCCCGCCGCCTCTATAAGCATCTACTTAGGTCCGGAAGAGAGAGGAATACTTTCCAAAAAGTTTTCTTTTTTTCTTTTGCAATTTGAGCAACCTTCTGTTTCTGTATACTTCGTTCATATTAATCCATATATCATATTATATCATATTCTATATCCATAATCATAGCAAGCCAAGTACAAGAGTTGTTTTTTTCTTAACTTTCTTAACAAATTAAAAACTAGTTTTAGTTTATGTCTTAGGCAAACTAAAGTTGTTGTTGAAAGTGAAGTGAAATGAATTAACAGGAGTACAGGAGATACTCGTTTAATGACTAGCATTTTGCCAACTTAAAAAGAATTTCTCATATATGTAGTTATTATAAGGTTTTTCATGGTCTTAGATAAGTACCTCGTTAGATTGATAGATTGAACATGGGGTCTTGAGAATATACCGACAAACTAGCCTACAAATATGTTATGTTTTCATTTCTTATATATTTTCCCAATACAATTTTCCATTTTGCTTGTGATTTGTGGTTTTGTGGTTTGTGGTTTTGCGGTTTGCGGTTTTTCTTAGAGCCATAAACAAGTTGACTATTTGCATTGCCTTTAAAAATGATATTTTGAGGAATCCCAATGCTATACCCGCCTCTTAGATAGATTACTTATATATCTTTGTAAAATTTCTTCTTATTTGAAAATCTAATTGCGACAAGCCTGCGGTGCCATGTCATTTAAAATGTTTTCTTATTTCTTTTCTTTTTTGTTTCTTCTTTTTCCTATATAGTCATTGATTATTATCTGCTGCTGCTGCTGCTGCTGCTGCTTATCATAGAATATTTAAGAATGGATAAAATGCAGCTATGCTGGAAGTACTAGTAAAATTTAGTATCACAGTATTTTATATAAGATCAACTTTTGTTTTTATCCATCATATATGCGGTATGTTCTTGCAAATATTACTTAAGTCAATTATATATCTTCTCGTATTAGAAATGGCATTTTTATACGTTTATTATTATTTTTTAATCGAGTAATGGAGAAAATCTCACAGTTTTCTTTTGCTTTTTCCATGAATATGCTGCGGTAATTATGTTTTATATCAAAATTATAATTAAAATTTGGTGTTTTTTACTATTTGGGAAGAAGTTTTCATAAGATTACTAAAACTTAAAGAAAAACCAAAAATAATTTGGAATAAAATTGAAACCCTTTTGAAAGTCATAAATAGAAACAAGCTCTATGCTGCTCTTACAGCAGTCCTTTTCACTTTCACGTTGCATGCAACTTTGAAGGCAAAGAGAAAGAAACTAACAAGAAAGGGAAATATTTAAGGGGTCATATAAGTTGGAAGAGCGCAATGGCAAGCAAGTTGCTGGACCAAGTTAGCCAGCTTTTTGGAAGAAATAAGGAAGAAGTGGGCTTAGAATAAAGATATTATAATGGCCATCTCTCTAACGCTACAAGCCTTAGTCATGTCTTTATCTTGCTATAGAATTTGTAACTAATCTATGTAATATATATATATATCCTTCGTTCCTTTTTTTGTGATATTAACTAATACGATGGTTAAGTTAAAATGTTAAAGAAATCTACGCAAGTCAAGTAAGTTGTTTCAACCAAGAACACAGTTTCTTTCATTCATTGCAAAATCGATGAAAGCTTAGATGTAACTCTCTCTCTTTCTATATCTCTCTGTATATATATAGATAGAGATATATATATATTAGAAGGAAAATAAGTTGAATTCATCTAAAATGTATTTTTACTGTTTTTTGAAATTGTTCTTTGTTTTGTTTCTTTTCTTTTTTTTGTGTATATATTAAGCGTGACTTTATTATTATAATTATTATGTCGTTGCAAATAACATTACTTAACAAAATACATTGCTTAAACGTTAACAGAACCACTTCTAAGATTCCTGCTTGGGTTATAGTTATTATTTCATTTTATTTATTTCTTCGTTTCTTTTAGTTTTTTTCTTTTGGGTTTATAAATATTATTTTAATAACTGTCTTGTAACATTATCTATGGCTAGAAACTTAAACTCAAACTCAACTTAAACTCAACTCAACTCAACTCAACGCACTTTCAAAAATAATCATAACAGCGTGGTCGAGAGGCGACTATTGAAAATTGAATCTTTTTTTTCATAATTTGAAATAATAAAGCTAATGATTGAGAAATCTTATTAAAATTGCTTTAGCCAATTTGATTTGTTCTTCAGTTTAGTGTTTAGTTTTTACTTTTTGTTCTTTTTTTTATATTTTTCTTTTTTATTGATACAAAAAAAAACGCCATAATACTCCTTTACTCAGTTCCAGCATAAAAACTACATTCTATTCTATAAATATTCTAGAGCCGTTCTTTGTCATATTTGGAGCTGCTAAAGCATCTTTGTGCTTCGTTTTGTTCTTGCAATTTGGATAATGGGTTGGGTTTGGTGGTATGGGGCTAGATTGGGTTAAGATCATGTTCATATAAGTTGACTGCTGTTGCTGTTGCTGCTGCTGCTGTTGCTGCTGCTGCTGCTCTTGCAACCATTTAAACTTTTCAACTTCTACTACATAAGAAATTCTCATAAAATCTATATCGTCTATAACTATTAATTGCTTGCCGTTACTGTTGTCTTTTTTTTTCATTTTTAATATTAGTGCTGAGGAGTGCAGTCATTCGGCAAGACCGAACTCGTCTTGTTCTATCGGTTTCTTCAGCCAGCTTCCGAGGTCTTCCCTTTTGAACGCCGAAAACAATTCTAATTTTGCAATCTAAAACAAAAAAGATAGAGTCACATTATTAATCAATTAATCTGAATAACAAACTAAATCCACTTACTTGATAGTCCTTAACGTTAGCTTTGGTTTGGCCATAGTCAGTGGTTACTTTGCGGACTAAAATACCTGGTAAGTTTGCCATTAGAAAACCATACTTAACAAAGAACGCCTGCTTTGTGATTCGGGAGACTTGACCGCCAATCGTTCGACCGGTCAGTGAGTTGACCACCTCAAGTTCTGTATCACCGATGGTCCAATTTATACCGAAATTTGGGGCCTTGGCCTGATTTCGGGGTTCGGCCGATGTGACCAAGGCTAGGCGTGGCTTATTCAAATGATACGGCGGTGGCAGGCCCTGAATTGATTTCTCAATTCGCCCGCAAACGGCACGATACATGTGCTCTGGATGCAGCAGGCTGCCCAATACAATCGAATGCAGGTACACGGGTTCAATTATGGAAGACAACAGAGAGCCCTGTATACCGACAATGTTCCAGCGGGCAATCTTGTCCGAGCAGGACATGGTCAACAGGCGTTGTCCCTGTAAGTTTTCATTTTTTCATTAATGTTTCTTAATATTTGTAGATAGATCTGTTTACCTGTAAAACGCCATCCCACGTCTGGATTCCATCGCTGCTTTTAACTGGAATTGTCCCTTCGCCGGACTCAATTTTCGTACGCAATTGACCGCGAGCTTTTCTGTTGATTGATGGTTATATTTCATGATTGATTCGTTGTCGTTGTTCGTTACAAGAAATGAATATGAAAAACGAAAGTTATTAACTTGTCTTACTTAGTACTTGTTACTCATTAAAAAAACATGCCAAGTCATACTGAGAACAAATCATAGTTCATAGTTTGGTGTGGCAATGGTAAACTTTTTTGATTTTTGGCTCATTTTTTTATTATTTTGTATTATTTTTTAGTTAATTTTAAAGTAATAAAAAGTTATTCGGACTCAAAATCTTGTTAAATATTAGCTTAACCCCTCTGTTAAAGTCTCTAAAGTTATAGAAAGACTTCTTACAGAGCCTTTAAGGTTGGTTAGAATGATTTTAAGCGGGTTTTTTCTTGATTTTTCTTGATTTTTTCTTCATTTTTCTCGACTTTTTTTGATTTTTTCTTAACTTTTCACAGACAGACAACTTGGCCAGACTTTACCACACTCAAGACACAACAACTTGAAAGGAAACTTAAAAAAATACCTGAATTTCAGTTTACATTTCATGCTTAAGTTCAGATTGATAGCTCCACCATATACGATATATACAGTTTCGTGCATTTTAAAGGCCACAAATTCTGCAATCCTTAGACTCTAATTTTGTATTTATTTTTCATATTTTTTATGCATTTCCAATTATATAAATTTTTGATATTTTCTCGCTTTTTCCCAGAGAAACAATAAATTTGTGGCACTTGCAATTTTTACCAGCACGCAGCTGTACATATAACAGGTATATATATATATTTTTATTAACTTTCTCAATCTCAAGATATCTAAGGCATTGCCGGTTCTCATTTAGTAACGTACAGATATGGTATATATATATATTAATAATAATTATGATTCTACTAATACAGTTTTTGCAAAATGTAAAATTTAAAATATAAAATATATATATAATATATAGTATATATAGTAGTATATAGCATATATAGAAAGTAATTGATTTTCGTAAATAATTATTAAGTATCAATAAGTATATTATAGAATGTCTTTTGTACCAACCTATTTGGATGTTTATCAACACCAGTGTCGTTTTCGTGAGGACTAAATATCCGTGCATCCCCACAAGGTGCTGTATTTATATACAAATGGAAATGTACCCCGGATTTTAGTTTGTAAGGGTATTGCCCATCAGTATTCCTCACGAAAATCGACTGATATGCTGTGGCTAAATTTAGAGGAGAGAATCGATAAAGAGTAATCAAATATAAATTAAATTAAAAACGAAGTAGTTTATGTTTAAGTTTCATTCTTTTCACCAATACGGGGGGTGTCTCGTATGTGGCATGAAAAGAAGTCAAATAAAACAATCGGGAATAGTTTTGGTTTTAGTTAGCAAGGCGAGGGGCGGGGCGGGGGGGCAGGGGGGGTACTGGGTATTGGGTAAGCATAAAAAGCCAATCTACTTTCGTTTTTTAAAGCCTAGTTAGTGAGTTAATAATTACTAATAAGAAAAAATACCTATTAAAAACAGGCAAGGAACAGCCTGAACAGCCTTTAACAATTTGCAGGTCAATGGGTCAGGGAAAGACCAGCGGGCCTAAAACCGAAATCATAACACAGCCCAAGTGGCCTAACAATCTCACTCAAAGGTTAGTGGCAATCAGAATTAGTAAGAAAGTAAGCCTTAATATTAAAATTTGTGCTTAAAATGGAATAAAGTAATTCTTGCAAGGACAAAGAGGGTCGCCCTTTTGTACATAAACACCTTCTGTAGCTAACCGAGACAGGGAAAACCAAAGTCAGCGTTTAACTTTAAGAATGCCTAAAAACTAAAATCAACAAAAAACAAAAACCAAAACAAAAGAGGAGAATTCTCAGTGCTGTCATAGGTTTGAAGGAGAAACAAGTTCTCCAGACGTATTTTCACTAGCCATCATTAAAGTTATTAACAATCAACGACTAGATTTATGCATTATACTTAAGTTTAACTTCTACTAAATATCAGATATATATATATAATATATAATAATTAGTATAGGTAAATCAAACTTAGCATCAAAGAACTATACCCTGATTGCACTGCAGATCCAGCTGGGCATATAAGTACTTGAGAAGACATCGCCGGGATACGATCTCGGCATGGGAATCATTCAGGACAGCACCGTTCACACTCATATGTTCGCCGCTGACGCATTTGGTGCCCGTTGATACTGAAATCACCTGAACGGAGAGAAACATATATAGATTTCGTATTTGAGTTGATCATTATTACTATATCTCCATCACTGACTTACTTGGGCCTCACAGAAATTCATGTTTTCAGTCATTACAATGCCCGCCAATACCTTTCGCCGCGAATAGGCCTCCTGACCCTTGATCACCTCCATGAACTTCTCCAACACCAGACGTCCAATGGTATCGGCATGTATCTGTGGCAGCTCCATGGACGAAGACTTGTCGTCAATGGGCAGGGGTACGTTTTTCTGTGGCACCACCATGGGACTGTAGGAGATATTGCACAACGAGGCCAAAGCTGCCTTGGCTGCCGCATTTTTCGCCAGCTTCTTGGAAGGACCTTTAAAAGAGAAAGTAATTTAGTTTTTAAGTTATAGTTAGTTTTCCCCACAAACTACAGACCTGTTCCATCGAACTTCTTCTCGTTAATCGTCACAGTCATCTTGAAACGGCAATTATTCTGCGCCCCATCAATGTTAATGCACTCGAAGTTGACGTCGTTGAAAAGTTCGTAGAGCAGCATCACAGGGCCTTTGTCCGGAACCTTTTTCTGGCCATCTACAGTGATGGCACTCTTGCTAACATCTGCCAATAGACAAGAAGTTAAGATAGTTAAATCTTTGCTAAATATCATTAACAAACTTAACTCTTAGTTAGCTAAACTTATTTTACACGTTATGCTGATCTTTCTCCAACCGTTTTAGCAAAAAAAAAACAAAGGCAAAGGGTAAACATAAACATAAACTTAGGAAATTTTTGTGTTAAGATAAAACGTATGTTTAAGGAGTTAAAGAGATTAAGTAGTTGGGAAAATCGAAACTTAAATGAAATCGTTTAAAAAAAAATAAGAAAGAAAGAAACTTCACAAAACTTAAGGACCAGAAGAAGGTTTTCCTTTTCTTTTTAGTAAATAACATTAACAGAAACAAATTAACATTGCAAACCTTCTGAAACTTTAAACTTACATTTTAATGTTAAAATTTTAAAGGAAAAAAGGAAGGTTAACTCAAGGTTCATTAACAGAGGTTGTACGACATTTTCAGCCATAAAAGAGAACTTTTTAAGAACAAGAACATATAGCTTATTAACTGGCTAAAGAACGCCTTCTACTATAGCATTTTTCCCAACTTTAAACATCTTTTAAAATCATTTTTAAGATCTTAAAACCATGTTCTAAGTTTTAGTACCTTAAAGGCTCTTATTTTTCCATCTAAAAATCACTAAAATTCCTCCATTAACAGAAACAAATTAACATTGCAAACCTTCTGAAACTTTAAACTTACATTTTAATGTTAAAATTTTAAAGGAAGGTTAGCCCAAGTTCCATTAACAGAGGTTATATCACATTTTCAGCCATAAAAGTAAACTTTTTAGGAACCAGAACATATAGCTTATTAACTGACTAAAAAACGCCTTCTACCACAGCCTTTTACTATACTTTAAACATCTTTTAAAATCATTTTTAAGACCTTAAAACCATGTTCTAAGTTCTAGCTCATTAAAGGCTCTTATTTTCCCATCTAAAAATCCATTTAAAATCCCTAAAAATCAAGTTTAAAGTTAGAAAGCCACCCAAAAAGTTCATAAAATTATCATCTTTAAAAATAATAAATTAAAAATAGTCAACTAAAAACAAAAAAAAAACAAAAACAAAAACGAAAAAAAAAAGAGATTAAGGAAAGGAAAATAAACACTAATACTTGCTCTGACTCATGCAAAACATTTGTAGACGCAACGTGGGTGGTTCAAGCGAGGTAAGGTTGGATATCTTTTCGGTCAACATTAACTTCTGTATGATCTCGACCTCTTGACCTTTGTACAAATTTTCAATACCATTTTCAAGATGCTCATCGCTGGTAAAGTCCAAATTGCCCGATGGCTTCAATGGCGACAATACGGCTCCATCCTTAAACTGTATAAAGCTTCGCAATGCCGTGGCAGCCGCCTCGATTCGTGCAACCTTTTTACTGCGTCCCTGGCCCAGGTATTTCTGTCCATCGACCTGAAATATGTTTTAAAAATAAATCTTAGTTTAAGTTTAACTTTTCCACTTTTCATTAATCTCATTAATCTATAATCTTTATTCATATAACATTTATGATCTCGTCTGGCATACTAATTTTATGCCAAAGAGAGAAGGTTTATGATTGATTTTGGTTTTGCATTTTCCAAGACATAAATCGCTGTTAATGTACTTGGAACATGGCAGCTGACTTGCTAACTCACCTCAACGGATATCGTAAATAAAGGTGCGTGCACCGGACCAGTCTGTGACTCCAATTTGTAAATCAGTCCATGTCTTAACTCATTCAGCATTGCCACCGTGTTCTTTGGCTGCGGAATGCGCTCCTTGCAGATTTTCTTCTTTGGTGCTGCTGCAAGGATTCCATTTAATAAGCTAAGGCTAAGGTTAAGAACCAAAAACGACTTACCAGCATATTTTGGCATCTCATAGCGCCGTTTTTGTGGCGACTTTCGGTTATAGCCATTCATGTTGATATCAGAGGGTACACTCACCGGCTATGGATATTCATATATGATTAATTATTAATAGATTAATTTGAATTTAGGATTACATTTATCGTTTAAACACTGTACAGTACAACGAAAAGCATTCAAACTTCCTTGCCAAGGACCCGTGTTCCTCGTGTGTGTGTCTGTGTGTGTGTGTGTGTGTGTGCATGCATGTAGAAGTCAGTTTGAGAAATGAAAATACTTTCTTTTCTTTTCCTTTCCTTCTTTTTAGCTTTTGGAATACATTACTCGGAATCACCATCGCGATGATGTTTGATATTGATATTTGTATAAATCGCATATTAACTACCATACATGCATACACACACACACACACACACGCACACACCATGTTAGGTTTTATGATTACGCACAACAACATCGATACCATATAGACAGTTATAACAAGACGTTTGTGATACAATAGGCACAACAATATGTTTAGTTTTGTAGATAAATGTCGCACATTTCTTGCTCGATTAATAGTTATACAAAAATATATTTGAGTGTGGGGTTTCCTTTCCTTCTACCATAAATGATATATACGAAAAAACAGGCCTACCAAAATTTTCCAGGACTGCTACTACTTACATTGCCTGGCAATGTTGAGGGGGGAAACATAACTCGACGCTTAACAAACAAACGCGACTTTTTCCCTGCAGCATAGTAAGTTGATGATGATAACGATGATGCGGCATAGAAATTATGACGTTGCTGATAACAGAACATAGAAGATCTTTGCATTCGCATGGGATGATGATGATGATGATGATGGCAAGAAGACTTGTAATAGGCCCGGCCTGGTTTATACGACACTGGATGATACATGATCACGAAACTCGGTATATTAAAAGGTTCTTTCTTGAATATTTGTGTTTTTTTTGGTTTTTCAAACTAGCTAACACAACAGCTAAGACATTCAAGACCGTTGTACGACCTAACAGCGACTGATAATCTTCGTGTTTCCCGGCTAAGCAAGCGCACTGACATTTATCTGACAACGACAAAAGCCAACTGCGGCTAATTTTATAGAAGGAACTGCAATTATGAAAAAAAAAAAAAAACAAAATCAAATTTTAAAAAAATCTACATACATGTGTGTAAAAACACATGCCTCTGTACGTGTATAGATAATTTGCGCGACTAGCTATAGCTCGATATTTATATACCCTTTTTTCCGAAAAGGGAAGACACATGCGGCTGTCCATCTAACAGCAAGGGATGCTAGTCTTTCTTTCTATACACGATCTTGCTTAGTTCTAAGCTACTAATTTAGTTTATGGAATCTAACTTGAATTCGTATCAATTCAAGTTTTAGTTTTAACATTATATAGTAGATAGATATATAGTTTAAGATTCTTGCTGTTTACAAAAGGATACCCATCAACCTTGCCTCTTCTAATGACATCTATCACTTGTCTTGAAAGAGGCACGGCATGTCGTGGTGCATGTCGAAAATCGAGATGCTTTGTGGCTGATAAAAGTGTTGCAGCAGCGGGGCCAGAAGGCAGATTTCGTCTTCGTATTAATGAAGTCAAAATGTCAGAAAGGCATTACAAAACCCAGCCCACGGCAGCCCATGAACGAAATTACATTAAAATTTGGATGCCGTTGGAGCGATTATTGCTGCGGCAGCTGCAAGTCGCTGCAAGCCGCTGCCGTCTGCAGCTGCAGCACAAACTCAGAGATGCATGAGTTGCATTGGCGTATCACAAGATTTGCAGTAATCAACGGCAAACAAAATTTTAAAATAAATATATAAAAAGATATATGTGTTTGTGTGTGTGTTAGTGTGAAAGTACAAATACTAATACTCCGGGATATACGCGATATATGTATATGCGATACGATATAGTACATCAGCAGAATCGAAGAAGAATTCATATATTTTTGGTCAAAGTTTTGGAGGAATTGACGCCTACAGTCGTCTTCTGGGCTATTTGGGTGAGCGTAGGTTGGGGAGAAAAAAAGGAAACGATTTCTTCTAAGAAAATGCTTAAAAGGAAAACGGTCTGTCTAGAAAGTTACTTGAAATCAAATTAGTTTCTAACTAACTAACAACAACATGCAAGATTTCTATCAAAAGTTTATCAAAAATTGAACACAAAGAAAGGAAAAAAAAAGTGAATTTTTCTAGAAGTGAACATAACTTGGTGATTAAAAAATCGAAGAAATTAATCAAGAAAGACCATGATGAACCCATTATTAGGCCTCATACTTAGGTTGTTTTGATCAATTTCGAATTCTTGAATGCAACCAACATACTTATATAAGATCGCACCTGTGTGTCGAGTGTCATTTGTCGGACAATGTGATGGCAAAAATTGCAAATGTCTAAAAATTATAAATTAGAACCAGCTAGCAGCCCTTTAGTGCTTAGGTATTTTCTTTTCTTTCTTCTCAAATTTTAAACAATAGAAAAAAAGCAGCTTATCATTCATCCTAAGTCCTAAGGCTAATAAGAAGAAGGTTGAAACAGTTCAAAAAGTTATCTTTCAAAATATATACAATATCATATGTAAACGAAATGAAAATCAATAGAATGTTGCTGCGCTTTTTTTAAACGTGTTGTAAAAATTAGCTTTCTATATGGTAAAAAACTTAATTTGTTAGCTTAACAGAAGTTACTTAGTTCTGGTGGTGGTAAGAAAACATGCCTTTTAGTAACAGTAACTACCGCCTAAGTTCATGCTAATACTAGAAAGTTTTAGTACTTAAATGGCCTTTAGTTTAGTTTTACCTTTTTTAAATGATTTTTGATTTTGTAACCATACTTAATAATCTATCTTTATCTTTAAGATAGAAAACTTTTTAGCACTGCCATATTTATGGCTTGACTTTAACTTGACTGATAAAGAATATATATATAGAAAAGCTATACATTATTTACAACACGTTTTTAGCTGGCATTCCATTTTGGACTTTTGATTTAGGTGCAGTTTAAAAACCCACCCCATCCACACCGCCCCGTGTCAATCATTCAAACTAAACTAAGCATATAGGCTAAATATTTACTAAACTTAAAATGCATGCTGCAGCAGCTGCAACTGCAACTGCTGTTGTGTGCGAATTACAACAACAATAAAAACAATTAAATGCATATAAATTCCACTTAAAAAGCCATAAAGAAATCTATTTTTTAATGACGGTTTTCGTCTACTTACGTGCTGGGGAGAATTGTTATTTGCGCTGTTTAACATGACTCTGGAATCGAATTTCACGTTCTTTTTTTTTGGTTCTATATATATATAGATATATATATATGGTATATATATATATATATCTTGGTGAAATCTGTTGTGCTATTGTAATGGTGATTTTTATATAGGAGTATGATGATGATGATGATGATGATGATGATAATACCAATCGGAAAAAGTAACACCAAAACCGATATTCAACTGAAGCGAAAGCTCTTTTTTGTTTTGTTTTTTTGTTTTAAAATAACTTAAAAAATTCAATGCTAATGTCTAAATTAATTAAGCTACAAAACTAACTTTCATTTGAGCGTAACTTTTATCTATTCGTTAAAATTTTCGTTAAATATATTATATATCGAAATTTGTTGCCAAAAAGGGTTTTTTTGTTTTTAAAAAAGTTCACAAAAAGTTGAAAGTTGAAACTTGCAATATGTAAAGTAGCTAACAAAAATCAAATTAGATCAATGGACTCATGTGGAAATGGCAGGAAAACTGCGGGAAATAAAGATATTTAGAATAGAGGAATATACAATCTTGACTTTTCAAGAAAAGAAAATGTTTAAAAACTGTTTTCGATATAATCCGCAAGCATTGGCATGCGTAGTACCATCATTCCACATGCATGCAACATACAACATACAACATACAACATACATATGTACGTTGTATGTTGTTTAGCTTTGTTACACGTTTTTTTTTTGTTTTTTTTTTTTGTTTTTTTTATTCAACACAATCGATTTTCGTACACTCACGCTGTCGTGAATTGGCGAATTTTTTCGAATTGGGACTACAGCCATATCGACTTGGCTGGCCAAAAGTGCATTATATATATATATAGTATATATACTATATCTATGCACTACACTTTGTGGCACATTAGGTAATTACACATATTTAAAGGCAACTACATACGTATTTTCTCTCTGTATTCGGCTGTTCTGTTGTTCTATTCTGTTCTTGAAAAAGTCACGCATTCGTAATGAAAACGTCACGGAAACGTAAGGTTCGATTCTGTAAGTCACTTTCTTTTCTAGCCAGTCGATATATGAATGGACGTCAACTTATTGGCTTATATAGAGTATAGAGGAGGAGGAGTAGAGGAACCTCCCCCCTATTAGACAGAGGTGAAGGCGAAGGCAAAGGCAAAGGCAAAGGCGGGTAATGGAACGCAATTCACTGCAATGCAGCAGAGAAGCCTTTCCTTTCGTTTCCCTTTCTCTTCCTCTTCTTCTTCTTCTTCTTTCATTGCCCCTTTCTCTTCCTCTTCTTTCCTTTCCGCTTTTGATGTTGGTCGGAATCGGAATCGGAATCGGAATGTTACGTCGCATGTGCTTTTGCATGTGTGCTTTTGTTTTTGCCATGTAGCTACGTAATACCCAGGAATTGTCAACTTTCCCGTATATCCACTATATCCACTTTCCTCTTCATCACAAACCTATTACATATATAGTATAATAGTATAACGAAAGTATCTCAAGCTTAGAAAAGATAACATTAAGATCGAACAACATATCTGGAATATGTTTTACCTACTATAAGGAGATCCACCTATGTTTTGTATCTTTTGCCTATATATTACGAGTATTTTGCATAAATGCCCGATTTACAACGACACAAATACATACATACATACATACGACTGCCTGCACATATATATATATATCTATGTATGTATGTACGTACGTACGTATATATGTATGCACATTGTATGTACGATGTGATGGTCTCGGTCTCCGTTCTGTTCTGTTCTGTTCTGTTGGCTACTGCATACCTTTTTTGCTTGTGAAAACGAGCTCTAATTATTGATTTTTACTTCGCTGTATCGGCAGAGTTTCACTTCTTCAACAACGTTCTCTTGGCTGCATCTATGCTGCGCTTTCTGCTCTTTGCTGCTGCAGATTTGTGGCGAGATTTAATGGCTGTTTACTGCTGTGGCGTGCAATTATTTAATTTAGCGGCACTCGAGAGAGAGAGAGAGAGAGAAAAAAAAAAAGGGAGCGCACACACACACACACAAACACGCACGCACACGCACACACACTGGCATGGCCGGGGGGACAAACAAATCAATTTTTGTTTGTTTTTTTTTTTTTTGCTCTCGTTCGTCTTTTCGGTTTCGGTTTTTCTTTGATTTGCGCGGTGCTGCCTCTTTCTCTTTTTGCCGCGAATTCGTTGCAATGTTGCAGCAGCACAAAATGCAGTCGCGGTTCACTTGTTTTAATGTAAAGGTTTTAGTTCATTACATTAGAAAAAAAAAACAACGACAGTTAGAGTTTTGTTGGTCGCTGGCGATGGTCCTTATTCGATATATATTTCTCGTATTTTTCTAGTATTTTTATCGCAGCACGTTGCTGGTCACACAATGAATTTATTAACATTCTTCTAACAGTAAAAGTCATGGGACAATGTATATCTAACAGATCCTGTGACAACTGTTAGTCCTGATGTAAACCGTTTTTGGGACATGGGTTGGAGTCTTGGATTAACATTACAGTTGAAGTTTTATAAGAAGAATTTGAGTTAAATAAGTAATGAAAATATAACTTATTTATTTTATTTATATGATAATTTATCTTTCTTCTTTTTGGTTTGGTTTTTGTTTTTTAAGTTAATGTTTTTAATTTCCTTCTTTCAAGATCATGAACTAGTTTTCTCTATTCGCCGTTTTTGTCCAGTGGCGCTTTATGAAAGGACTACTTAACAGAAATGTTAAATTTATCTTTATTACGGCTGCCTATATCGATAGTATCTCATCACAATGACACACGATAAAACTTTCAAAACTTATCGGTATTTCGCAATAATCTTAAAAGCGCAATTTTTTGAATGCATACTCATATGCATAATCATAGTCTTGTTTTAAATTTCGCATTTTCCTTTATGTATGGTATCATTCCTTTGATTTTCTGTTTACATTAACACAAAATTCCTATATCTTAACCCTGTTCGGGTTACTGTTAATAAAAGCCACTAAAATATCCTGGATTGAATTGACTGAGAACTGAGTTGGTAGAGAACTTTGACTGCTGGAAAAGCTTGGTCTGGTAAGGGAAATGGGTTTTTCCTTTGGAAGGGCAAACTTTCTTAAAACTTAAACTTTTGTAAAAGACCTTTTTAGCTGCCGTTTAGCTGTTTGTTTTGTTTTGACTAAGTTAGAGCTTAAAACCCCGTACTACTATTGCTACTTTCAGTCAAAAAACCTAATCCTCATTTTCCATCAAATATTAACAGTTTTTTGTCCATAACAAAGCCAATATTTGGCCAAATTGGGAAAGCAATACCTTGAGCTTGTTTTTTATTTCCCAATATATCCGTTTCTCCACCTCTAAAAGTAATATTTTTGCTAATTTTCGCAAAAATTGATAAACTGGCCCCTTATTAAAAAATCAAAATTCTGTTTTTCCCGATTTGCCCCTTAAAATTGATAGTATTCTCCCCATAACTAAGTCCGTAAGGGTCTAAATATGGAATGTCATACCTCTATGAACTCGTAATTTGATTTCCAACAAAACTGCATACCCACCTTGAAACGTAAAAACTTTCCCATTTCTCTCAAATTTTGATGATTTTGATTTTTACAAGAAATTGAAAATTTGGCAAAAAATTCAAATCTCCAAAATCATCAAACGAATGATAAGAAAAGTTAGTTTGGCTCGTTGGCTTTACAAAACAGTCTTTATTTTAGCCGTGAGTCTTCATTTGACAAAGTTATAGTCATAAAACCACCCAAAAGTATGCTAACTTTCTGTCAGAACTCATAATCCTGATTTGAGCCCCATCAGAATCAGCATTCTTCCCAATACAAAGCCGCTAATTGCCGGAACATAGAATGTCATATATCACTGAACGCGTAATTAAAAATCCAGTTTAACTGCATTCGCACTTTAAAATGTCAAAATATAAAAATTTCTTGGAAAAAACCTTATGCTACCTCCTTACCCTTATCAAAAAGCGTAATTTTTGGTTTATCCCGATTTTCTCCTAACAGTGATAGTATTCTTCCCAGAACTCAGCCAATAATAATCCGAATGTGGAATGTAATACCTCGTTGAGTTCGTAATTTGATTTCCAACAAAACTGCTTACCCACCTTAAAACGTAAAAATGTTCCCATTTTTCGGAAATTTTGATGATGTTACCCCTTACAAAAAATTGAAAATTTTGCAAAAAATTAAAATCCCCAAAATCACCAAACGAATGATGAGGAAAGTTTGTGTCGGTCGTTAGCTGCTCAAAACGGTCTTTATCTTAGCTCTGAGCCCTGTTTTGGCTGAGTTATAGGTATGAAACCGATAAAAATATTTCCATTTTCTGCCTAAAGCGTAAGCCTTGTTGTTGTCCCAAAATAATCCAAAATTCTTCCCATAACAAAGCCAATAATGGTCGGAATATAGAATGTGATACATCGATGAACTCGTAATTCAAATTCTAGACAAACTGCATTCTCAGTTTAAAATGTCAAAATTTGGCCATTTTTCGAGAATTTTGAGGATGTTACCTCTTATCAAAAATGTGAAAATCGTTTTATTCCGATTTAACCCCCAAAAATGAGAGTGTTATATCCGTAGCTAAGCCAATAATGATCCAAATACGGAATTTGTTTTCTGATTCCTAAAAGATCTGCATTCAAAGTTGAAATAGTTAAATTTTTGCCATGCTTACAAAATATTCGAAGTTTAGTCCAAAGTACAAGAGACTACTAATGACTTGCATGTTTAACCATAGTACCATAAATCCCCTTTCAAACTCTTTCTTTTAAATTATCGATAAAAGGGTTTATTTATCAATCGATACAAATAGCAAATGCCCATTGGAAAAACAGCTTTAAATTTGCAAAATCAAAATGCAAAACAAATAAAAGAAATTCGAGACAAAACAGACATTTCGATGGGCTTTGGTTTTTCGGTTCGGGGCGTTGTGGCAGTTACCAGTAGAGTGTTGCACTTGCGGCAGAATAGTATGGCAAACATGGTCCATTCTGATGGCAATTGCTTACCAACACACAGAGAACTCTATATTGAATGACAAGAAGGCGGTCAAAAGACAGCATTGTGGTTCTCGTTACACAACTTGTAGTAAAGTGATGGGGTTTTTTTGGGGGTTAAAGTGACAACGTTAACTCTAGCTATTCAAAAATCATTTCTTATATTTTAGCATTCTATCGCATCTTGCAAGGATAACGATTCGATAAGTTTGGTTATATATATAAAAGAGAGAGAGAGAGCTGAATGGGGAGGAGGATTGGGAGCGGCCCAACGAGTGCCGGCACAGGGCAGGCGGCAGGCGGTAGGCGGTACGAACTTTGCAAAAATTGTGCGCATATTAAAATTCTTGGTGAAAGCTTTTGACATAAATTAAAACTTTTTTCAATGTACGTACTGAGCTCTCTCCCCCTCCGGTAGGTCCCTAGAACCCATATCTGCTGTATTTTTATCAAAATCCATCGAAAACTGCTGGGAGGATAACCCTCACCTAGGCTAGAATGTTGTTAGCCCAATGGGGAGTATAGGTGTGTGTGTGAGCGGATTTCTTTGTTTTTTGGTAACTGTTTGTGTAGGCAGAAAGCCAAAGTGCCAGAGTGTGCCAGCATGCCAGAGTTCCAGAGTTCTAGAGTGCAAGGATGGATCAGAGAAGCTGCTACTTCCAAGGACATTCCACACCTAAAGCTTCCTCTGATTATTTGCTTGATATTGAGGCGTTACTTGATGGCAGTTTCCGCGAGGCTTAGTCGTCATCGCATAAAACAAGCACTTATTGCCCTTCTCTCGCTCTCGCTCTCGCTCTCGCGACACTGACACATGAAAGGCTGATTGAAAACTTTTTTAATTAATTTCCAAGCCAAGAAAGTAAGTAACGGGACAAGACAGCCAAGCAGCAAGCAAGCTATCGATGGAGAACCATTGAGTGAAACTTCGACGACGTGCATACGCATACTATATAGATTGGGGGGTGGCTACGAAGAGGAGGAGTGATATTGATACCAGAGCCAGAGCGCATTAAAAATGAATTTCTCTTCATTGCCGGTTATAGCAGTGGGCGTTGCTCCCAGCTCAAAGACAACATTTTTGGCGTAAAAATTATTTATGGGCTTACTGTGCGTAACGTGTCTATGGCGGCAGTGTCTATGTTCCGGAAGTAGTCCTACACCAAAAGAAAAGAGAGCAGTAATTTCTTCGCCTAGAAGTAGGCAAGGAAAATGCAACTTCGTCTTAGGGTCTAAGCCAGTCTAGTCTTTAAGCTTAAAATCTATAATCTAGAAATGATTTCTCATTAAAAAAAAAAAGTCTCCTTTAAGTAAGCTTCTTTTCTTTCAGTGCCTGCCCAAAACTGAGCTGAGGTGTCGCTCTGTCAGTGCTAATGTCGCATTGGCTACGTGATTGTCGGTGCTGGCGACTGATTTTTACGCCTGCCACGAAACTTTTTCAATAATGTATAAATCAAACTGTCATAAAGTCACAGTCGCAGATTGCGAAATCGCCGTCTTTTGGTCTTTTTTTGGTCTTCTTAGTCTTAGTCTTAGTTTTTCTCTCAGATATTTCGCGAGCAAGCGTAGCGTCAGGTAGCCTGACATTTTCTTAGACAATTTAAGTTGCCATTGTGTGCTGCCCTAGCCCTGGCCCTGGCCCTGATGATGTGCATTTAATATGTGTGTGTATGTATGTATGTATATCTGTACTAGTATGTAGCATCAACATGGTGAGGCACAGACAGACAATGTCCCAAACTGAGACTGAGAACCTGACCTGAACCACCGACAACCCCCCAGATGTTACCTGTCTGTGTGTGTTGCCTTTGCAAGGTCCCTTTTTTTTATACTTCCACTTCTTCTTGGCTTTCCTTTAAGCGAGTTTTTCACATTCATGGAAATATGTCACAAAATTTATTGCAAAATAATTTCCCTCCTTGTGTGTGTGTGTGCCGCCATCATCATACTTTCCCCCATACGCCCCCTGACTTCCATTTCTCCTCCTACTGCCTTCAGTGCTGCTAATGCCCACGACTAGCCACTGTGGCCTTCTCTCCTTGAC